TTAATAATAGTACTTACATATTTTACCCGCTTCTGTAAAATAAAAAAAAAAATACGAAATAAGTAACAAATATATAATAATATATTAAGAATATAAAAGGAAATAAAAGCTGAACTTCTTCTCTTAAGATATTTGACAGTACAAAAAATATATGTGTGAATGAACAGAGTTATAAATAAGAATCATTACAAAATATCACTCAAAATGTGTACATAGAGTATACCTATACAGTCATTCCTCCTAAAATCACAAAGCACACAAGATACACTATATACCAAAATCGAAAACAATATTTTTGTATTGGAGTATTATTCCAATGTCAAATTTATAGTCAAGTTATTTTGATAGATGCATCCGCGTTCTATAGATGTGGTTCAGGTAGAAAATTATATATGAACTACAGAATTGAGAAGAGAATAACTTCAAATGTGTGTGAACCCGCCGTCGAAAGTAAAGTAAACAGTTTAATTTTGATTAGTAAAATATTAATTAAAATATATAAATAAATAGTTTTTGGATTTGTAATATTTTTATACTAATATAGCATTTATTAACTTTTTTATTATTTTATATAAAAGAAACAACTTGATGCAGAAGATACTTAATTTAATTTATTTTTAATCATAGGATGGTTCTATATAATGTTTGATTATATATGCAACCAGATAAAGGAAACCATTTTTAGAAATGATAGGATAAAGTTTTCATCTATACTATGATAATATAAGTAACCGAATAACATAAAGGTAAAGGAAATCATTAATATTTTGATATATAACTTTAAGTTTATATGTTAGCCATATAAAACTCTAAACACGATTTATTTAGTTTTTGATAGTGATATTAGTCATTAGTATAGTTTCCTAACAACAACACAAGACGTTAATCAAAATCTTTAACTGATAGCTTTAATTTAACCTGGAGAACCATCCCTTGATAATGATGTATAATATTCGTTATTCAAAAATTGAGGCAGGCGAGTATAAATAATAAATATTTTATTTACTTATACACAATAGATCTGAACGAATCAACATAAAATTTAACAGAGATATTAAATATTTACAAGTCTAAAATAAATTTTAAATAGATATTCTTTGAGCAATGAAGACAACTTAGTTTCAATTCAATGGGAGTTAACGTATATCAACTCATTACGATTGTTATAATAAACAGTATAAGTATATTCCCAAAAAATTTATTTAAAATTTTTTTTAATTAACTCAAAGAGTGACACACTAATTTGTATCAAACGAACATAATCGGTTTTATCTTTACTGCATTATAACTCTATTAACAAACTAATTATAGCCTATTCACCATACATTATATGTGATGTATATTTACCTCATAAAATAGTTTAGTAAGAACCAATTGGTTAAAGCAAATATTCAGTCCTTAATAATATTTATATAATTCAAAAAACAAATCAGAAGAATTTTAGTTTCAACTTCACCGATACTTTAATACCACCCTTTATTTAAATAATTATAATAAAAAAATTATTTACTATTTAAATTCTTAAAGAAAATATATACATAGGCACGATTTTGTTAGGGTTAGGTTACCTATTCAAGCGAGTATATCTTTTTGGTTTGATATTATTTTTTATTGATTCAAATCACAAAAACATATAGAAATAACACAAATATAATATAAAATTTCAGAATACATTCAGTCTAGCCCTAACTATGGCCTTCAAACGGTCAAAAAATGAGTTGCCTGCTTCACGAATGAGATCTTCCAGTAATTTGTAATTTCTTCAACGCATCCATACTGTTATATGGAATAGTCTATCGCTATTCGAAAGCCATTCTTTAGACAAAATATTAAAAATTCTTGGTTCAAACGAGCTTTAAGTGATGGTGTCAAGTCTTGTTGGAACGTCCATGGTCTACAACCGAAATGTTTGCGTGACCACGACTCTTAACCAACTTCAAAAAAATTTATCCGATAATAAATGATATTGACTTTGATATCAGGCTCGTTGAAAATGATTGGAGAGCATCCATTGGCGGTCACAGCTGCCTATACTAATACTTGAGATGGAAAATTACTTAGTGTGGCTATTCGTAGTCTCAAATTTTCGGCAGAATTTATGAACTACTCAATTGGAAAAATTTATCATTAGAAAACACAATGTTTAAAAATTCGTAACAACTCCTCTGCTCTTTCAAGTCTAACTTTTTGTTGCTTTGGTGTACGATCTTGTGTCTTTTGGAACTTGTAAGGCTTTACCTTAAGCTCATTTTTGATTATCTAACTCACAGAAATATTTGGTCGCCTATTGTAGTTGGCTTTAGAATACGTTCGAAACATTTTTCGCTTTATACATTGGCATTGATGATTCAAAAACTCCTACGTAGAGCAACTATCGACTTGACTTACTATGACCATTTGGGTGATCCAAATTGTCATTTCTGTTAAGTAAACGTTTGTATTGAGGAATGAGTAACATACTCTTACTTAGATCTTTTAATTAAGTAAATTTATAATTCATTTTCTAATAATATATTTGCAACTTTTATTCAATAGTATGAAGTATACCTAATGTACTTTCAGAAAAAGAAACAAGTTTTCGTTTTCATATCAAGTGTGTTTCTGTGCAATCTGCAGCCAAACTGATCGAACCTACTAGCGTTATGTACCCATTCATAAATTTTACTCTAATTTTAACATTTGGTCTGTGTATTGCTTAGTGACACTGAAAGATCGGTGTTACGATCTAAGAGTGCAAGCATTCGATTTCGTTTCGATTGGATTGTTTAAATTGTATTAAATTTATATTTTGCCAAAACAAAAAAAAATATAAAAAACAATATCACGTTTACGGTTTCTTAATACGCGTTTGCTTTTGAGCAGCTTAGTTTGTACATGCAATGATTTTGATAGAAGAAAAAGCCGATCTGATCAAGGCTACTGATAAAACCAGATTTATACAATATTACGTATTTAATGCATGTCGAAGACATCTCATAACAAATCTTAAAATTTAAAGATAGTTTTAGTGGTAGCATCGGTATATATATATTTTGAGCCTATTCTTCTTTATGATTAATACACTTTTGTATGCGTTCGAATCATTTGTTAAAGCGTTTTTTTCAATCTTGTTCAGACACCTCCAAAATATGATTTTTAAATGCAACAACGGTTTCGACTTCTTCCGACGAATTCACTCTTGACGTTCGGGAACAAAAAGAAGTCATTGGGTGCCAAATCAGGACTGTACTCATCAATTCGATTTTTTGAACGTTCAAATAGTCGGTTGTTAGACGAGATGTGTGAGCACTCGCATTGTCTTATTGGAGAATGATCATCAACGCCGACGGCGCTTGTTTGTTTTTCGTATTTCACTTAAGACTTCCGGTAAATAAATGTTTGTATACCATTCGGAATTGACCATTTTCCGTTTCTGTAATGGTATCCGTATAGTTGCCACAGGACCAGTTTTCTCGAAAAACAAGCGGCCATTTGTTTCGACACCCACATAATCGACTGTTATATACGTTCCGACTCATACGCATATATCCATAATTCGTCACCTGTTACCATCTTATATACATATTTAAAGCACCGGTATTGTACTTCTTCAGCATTTGTGTGGACCAATCAACACGAGCATCTTTTTGAGATTTTGTCAAATCGTTGGATAGGGAATCCAACGAAAATAAACCTTTCTCACTGCTAAATTATGCAGTGTTTTTTTTAAGAACCACTATACTAGGCATTTCATATAGCCATTGAAAGTAAAGTTGAATCTTTAATATTAAATAATGGATCATGTAGATTCAATATTTTCAAAACATCATATATATTTTCAAACGATTAAGTTGTATCAGATGTATATAGCTAACTGGCATTATAGTTATATTATTTTCATTTAATTTCATAAAATATTCAATTATATTTGTAGGAAAGGAGAAAGGGATGCGGAATATCTCACTGACTATTTTCAATGTTAAGTTAAAGTACAACATTTTTAATTATAAAAAAATCTAATAACGACTAACGGAATAACGACTATGTAATGCTTCTATAATGATTCAATATGAAGATTTTATTGAGTTTAAAGAGAAAGAGAGAGAGAGACGAAAATGGAGAGATGTACAGAGAGAAATAAGGAGAAAGAGATATAATAACAGAGAAATAAGAGGAGAGGAGAGAGAGAAATTAAGATATACGAAGAGAAAGAGAGAAATTGAGACAGAGGAAGGGAGAAAGAGAGAAATTGAGACAGAGGAAGGGAAAAAGAGAAATTGAGTTAGAGGAAGAGTAAAAGAAAGAGAGATAATGAGATAAAGGTAAAGGTGGGAGAGAAAGAGACACAGTATTAACATTATTCGAGGTTACTATAATTTGAGATATCACAATCACAGTTAATAATTTAATTTCAGGCTGTGAAGAGATCTTGTTGCGCTATAATATATATGAACAGTTACAAATACAATAATAATAAAACCCTTAAGATGCAATATACAGTGCACATTCCAAAATGACGTGGCGATAAAGCATCAATAACGATATTAATAAATTCATTTGTAATTTATAACATATAGAAAAAAACTATAGCTTCTGGATATGCCATATAGATAGCTTAAGTTAAATTGTTTAAACGAACATAATGAAAAACCAGCCATTACTTTCATTAATTATTCGTATAAGTAAATAATATGTAGAAAGCTATATTTTAAGTTTGCTTCCAATTTTTAATAAAAGCTTAAAAACTTAGTGTAAGTTTATGATTACACATATACATATATATGTTAACATAGTCCACAATACATACTTATTTGTTTGTTTGAAACAATCTACTTTTTAATTACCCGGCAATAATATGTTTGATTGATTGAATTTAACTCGGAAGCATAAAATTAACCGTGATAACACACTAATT